ACACTCAGCTTTTTTAAGAAATTTTTTATTTTAAGGGTAGCTCTCAAGATTTTTTTCTGTTCTCCACTGCGCATCCTTTCGTATCCTTGCTTGGTTGCCTAATGAAAAGTCCCCGTCAATTACAAGAACGCCACGCGGCGGCCAAAAAAATTAAATGAAATTATAGAAAAAGGTAAAAAGTTGCCGAAAAGATGCAAAAAAACATGACCAAAAGTCAGAAAAGAACATGGATGGATGCCTGCTCAAAATCCTGTGTAAGCAAATTTGCGTCAAGGGATCAAATGGATCTTTCGGCGGGGGGAGGGGACATTAAAATTTTGAGCATAACAAAAAATGAAAGACGTGACCGGGAATTATAGTTTTCTATTAGATATTCGGCAGGACAATACTACCTGCCACTTAAATCACGAGTGTTCCGCTGATTCTTTAAAGTTGATAGTGCCTCGAGAATTTGGTAACTCTTTCGTTAGATTTTTGGCTAGGAAAGAAGATAAGGCATGTCTGCAATTTCCAGTTTTAGGGTAGAGAAGGCGGTTTCGGTTTTTTGGTCAATGTACAATGAGTACAAGGTGGTACTTCAAGGTATGGTCGGAAATATCATGGGGTAAAGTCTGACACGGGATAAACTGCTCTCAAAATTTCACAATTTGCGGCATTAAAGCCTTCTCCCGGTCAGACATTCTTCTTTGAGCACAATTTTGGGTCTTCGGCCACGACCTTTTGTCTTCCTGCTGTGCACGTGTGTTTGCCAGTTTTTCAATATTTACCTCATATGATGTCACGGAAACAAGCTGATTTCTTATACCAACTATTGGGGACACATGGATGGGAGTGGGGCGATGGGAGTGGGAGTGGGAGTGGAGTGTGCGGCACCACTCGCTTTCTGTTTGTTTGAACATGTGTCCTTCTTTTCAGATTGACCGTTCTATTTGTTAAAGGTATTTGGATCAGGATCTGCTGGAAACTGGCCAGAGGGCCGGCGGGGGAAATCAGCACCGCAGGACATGCCAACGCCAATGGGCAGCTGTCAGGGGCAGGACTTAAGCCCGCAAGCCTTTGAGTTTTTTTTTTGCGTTTGCGTTTGCGTTTACCTTGGCAAGCAGCTGTCAAAACTGCTAATAGGCGTAAATGAGCCGCCCAATGAGGCAGAAAGAAACTGTTGAGGAAAACTAATTTCCGCTGCATACAAAGACGAACGTCTTCAGCTTCAGTCTTCAGACAGGACAAGAACAGGACGTGTGCCAGAAGCATTCTTTGCGCAAATTCCATGTCTGATCCCTCTGCGTGTGCGGCCCCTAAATAAGGATTATCGTCGTATGCAAAGTGAAAAAAGAGAAAAAGAGAATAATGAAAACTACAAACTGCAGGCGAGTCAATGGAAACCGAAACCCTTTTCAAATTTCCAAATTTTGAAATTCCAATCCCAGGTTATGCATAGATCTCTCTGTGTATAGGGTGTAATTTTTTTAGCAGCCGGCATTTGCATACCAAAAAAAATTAAATATTCAAAAAAAGTGAGGCTGTGGCTGTTCCTGGCAGGACACACGACAAACGCACCCCTCGTGATTTTTTTTTCCTTTTTCCTGCTACCCAGACAACGTCGAAAGTCCTGCGGCTGCGGCTGGGACATCGACAACCCTTTAGCACTTTTTAGAACGGGTTTCCACAACTTTTAATTTGCATTTTGTTGCTTTGTGTTGCTGTTGGGATTTCAAAATCAAGTTTAAAAAAACTCACCCCAGACGTTGTCGGGTTCAGGTCCAGGCTCTATCATAAAAAACAAATGCTCGATTTTTTGGGGTACAGTTTTTTTCGCTCGGAATTTGACAAGTGAATATTCATGTAAACTGTGCAAGGGTTAAAACTTTTGAGAGCTGCAGAATAGGTAGAACGAAAAAAAAACGTGGGTACTTTAGCATGTGCTCGGGCAGAATAATTTGGGATGATGTGGGTAACGAAAAAAAGAGTTGGGAAAAATGCAGGCTGCCAACAGGGTGATGAGTGGAACATAGATCGTTAGTGGATCGTGAGTGGGTTCGTTAAGGTTATATTTTTGAAAAGTTATTAAAAATATTTCAGGGCCATATATGCAAAGGTATTTGAAGCTTCGGCTCAAGTTTGACGAATAAACTACTTATTTGATCCGCTTAACATACTCGAAGCTGAAAAAAGTACCCCTATTAAAAAATCAAGGGTACCATAGAAAAAACGAGCCAGACATACCAGACATTATCAAAGGGGTAAGAAAAGCACGCAGCGTTGCATGCAAAACGAAAGTTAATCACAAAATACATTACGGTGGATATAAAAAATAGATGAACAAAAAAAATGAGGCAGACGCGCGACTCGTTTTTTTTTTTTTTTTTCCTGAGAGGGGTTAACTTAATTTATGCGCATCGTTGAGTTGGAAGCGTGGCAGCGACGTTGGCTGAGGCACTACATAGATGCTGGGGCTGATTATGCAGCACGGCAGCAGCAGAGAAGCAGCAGAGCAGCAGCACGACAGCAGCACGAAATGCTTTCTTTCGTTTCCTCAATTTTGTAATTTGGAAAATATGCCTCAGTTCATGGAACGGCTGCGATGTTAATGTCAAATGGCAGGGGTTTGGTTTTACTGGAAATTATTGATTTATGATTTTGCAATTCTATGGACATTGACTAGGTGCGATGTGGTGGCGATAGTTATTAGTGTAACTACAAAAATTGGACAACAAATTTGGCTTATCGTTTATTCTTTCTCTTTTTGTTTTGAGTATAGCCGTTTGAATGTATCTTCAAGTATCTTTCTCTTTGCTTAACCAATCTTATACGAAAGCATTTAATATTCTATTCCACTCCTCAGAATCCCTTTCTTTAGGCACACTTACAAGACCAATTAAAAATTATAAGCAGTCCCCTCCAGTCAAAGGCACTCCCTTAAAGTACTTCCCATACATATAAGACCACCTTGATGAAAAACATTCAACATTAAGAAGGGAAAACTGCGTGGCCACCTGCGCAACTCGACGCCAAATGATGCCGTTAAGATGCTTATAGCAAAAGAAGAGCGGCGAGTGGGGTGTGGGGTGTGGGGAGCAAATACTTCAAAAGGCATTTAAAACAAAAACGAAACAAAATGAAAGTCAAGTCTCCCCCCCCCCCCCCCCCCCCTCCGGTCCCACAATCCTGCAAATGGGGGTGGCGTTGAAAAGGGGTGGCAAACGAAATTAAATTTTGTACTTCGCATAAACTTAATTACTCGCCATGGCCGGCTGGATAAGATGGGTGGAAAGGAGAGGAGAGGACTACGAAGGGCTACGGAGAGTTCTTCCTGCTCCTGGAGAGAGCCCTGCGCAGTCGCGAGATTCGCTTTCGCTTCGTTCATTAATGGTCGCGCTTAATGGGAAATATTAAATTATGCCCGCGCTGCATTGTGCTGTTGCTGGCTTCATTTTGGGTCCTTTGCTAATTTAACCCTCCGGACTCCAGGACCCCAGGACTCCACGACTCTGGGACTCCAGGATGCCAGGATGCCACTCGGAGACATCTTTTGTCTTTCCATTGGGATCCTTGCTTTCAGTTCAGTGTCAAACAAAGTCATTTCCATGTTAATTGCACGCCATTTTGTGCCTTTGGTCCTTGGCCCGGTTGATAGGCTGATTATCCTTTCATTTATGCAAAGTCCCAGCTCTTGTTAATTTGCTTATTTCGTTGCCGTCTTCCAAGTCCCTGCTTTTGTCCGCATCTTAATTAATGTTTTCCTTGTTGTTATGCAAAGCAGTCTAGTTATTAAAAGGATACGCCGTCGAGTCCCGCTTCATCCCGGGGCCACTTGGGCCGGATATGAAAGGTAATTAAAAATTTTTCATTGCTCTGTTAAATTGCGCTTTGCATATTTTGTGGCGCCTGGTTCAGAAAATATATTCGCAAGGCTTGGACTTGCTTGCAGATATCCTCATACCGGATCCGCATCCGATATCTGGGGGATCTGGGGGCTGTCAGTTGGTTGGAGGCTGTCTCTTACATTGGGACATGGCCGCAAATTAGTTAAAAGGATATCTGAAGGAGAGCTCCCAACATGCTTGCTTCCTTTCTGATGTGCCTTTTATTCTATAAGCGAATTACAAATCCATTAGGACATACCCAGACCCAGGACTGTATGAGTAAATATTAGTTACTCGAAACGAAACTAAGTGCGCAACATTATTAAATAATAAGCAGTTCGGAGCAAATCCTTTTAGGCCCATACATGAGCTATAATTTGATTTAGCAGCACGAAAAACTGTCCTCTTACTGGGACATCACATCGGGTGCGGTACCCAAAGAACTACGAGTATTACTGACCTCTATCAATCGCCTTGCCTTGCCTTCATCCCTTCCCGCTCCCGCATCTTCACATAAGAGTGGCACAGAAGACCTGACGAGTATGTTACCGATTTCTGGCTTTGCATAGCAAGCAAATAAAAACAAGTGGGGCAGAGAAAACCCACAACAAATCGCTTAAATCGCATCAACAGTTTGCCAACACTCACAGGGGCACATATGCATAGCAGATACGAGAATGTGTAGTGAATGATAGCTTGTTGATAGCTCACTTTCCTCGCACACCACATGTCAACAACAACCAGCACTCCTCTCCACAGGTCCTCCCCAGCCAGCAAAACAGCACAGCACCCCTCACATATGATTTTCAAACGTTTTCCTTTGCCTTTTCACTCTCAAATTTTTTGTGCAAAAAAAAAGGGGAAGAAAGGGTCCACGGCCTCCCCAAGAGAGTAGCAGTAAAACTCATGAAAATCGCGTGTGTAGTGCCTTTTTGTCTGTGGTTATTGTTGTTGTTGTTTTTGTTGTTGGGCAATTGCCGTTTCCGTCGTCAAAGTCGTCGCGGTTTATGCATGTAAATTTGTCCAAAATTGTCGAAAATTTGTGGCAAATAAAAAAAAAACATATGGGAGAGGACGGAAGGAGTCGCCTTGTCTAATGTTTACGTAATCATCAGCATTCTTATCATAGAATTGCCATTACTGTTGCATGGGCGGTACTGCTACCGGCGGCATAGGGATAGAGTTGTGCAATTTGGCTTTTATGGAAATTCATGTGTTGAATGCTCCACTCCCCCTATGGAAAAGTGGAAAAGTGGCGGGATTTTCGCTTATGCAGACCATGTGTGGCAAGTGGGAGAGTGGGGGAGTGGGGAAGCGTGGGAATTTTGTAGCTTATATGATTTTCATTGTCAAAGGTCGGTTATGAATAGGGCCTAATTCTATTTATGTTTCATGTAGGTTATTTTGCCGAAGGTTTTTTTGAATTGCTGTCAAAGCAACAAATTCCTAGAAGTAGAAGTATTTTCTGTATAATTCCCTAAACGGTTACGCAGCAAATGCGTCGCGAGTGAAACTGCTTAAAGCTTAAAGATTTTTACTTGCTTGGGGAGGGGTCTTCACTTCTCTCCATCCCGTACTTTCTACTCTTGCTCGCGACATTAATACCATGAATAATATACGCTCATTTCTTTTGCTTTTGCGTTGGCGTTGGCGTTGGAGTTCTCTTAGCCGCTTCCTCTTCCTCGTTTTCTTCCATTTTTGTCCTTGCTCTGTTTCCTCTAATTCCAAAGGGGTTGTTTGTAATTTTCTTTAAACAAAAATTTCCTTCTGCTTTTACGTTGCTTCTCGTGCAACTCGGGAGAAACAAAAACGGAAAATATACAAGTAAAATGAGTCAGAGCAAACGCTGAAAGCTGCTGCTTGGAAAAGCTTTGCCACAAAGGGGGTCCCACGGCGATAGAGAGTGGGGATGCAAAACGTCTCAATGAGTTTTACGCTCGGTGCTTGATAATGAGCAGAAAGCAGAAAGGAAGCGAGTCAGTCAAAGGCGAAGGAGATGAAGGAGCATCGCGCCGTTCCCGACCCCAGCCACATACCCGCCCGAGCTCTTCTCTGGTTGTGGCTGCGCTCATCCAGCATTAAACTCTTTGATTAAAGCCAAGGTTGGAGAGAGACGCCAGTACAAGCACCCATCTCTTTTTAACACAGACGCAGGTGGCCTATGCCGCCATGCCTGAAAACAACGAAGGTGGCTGGCGGACTGGAGGGGTTGGCGGAGAAAAAGCGAAAGCACTTCGTATGCAAATGAGTTTGTCGTTATCGTTGCTGCCGACGCCGCTGTCGGCGTCGCAGTTGCTGCTCTTCGAGAGGGTTGTTTTCAGTTTTGCTTTTTTTCTATACCTCATCTTCTTCCCCTTCTGCTATGGGGTTTACTTGATAAGAGAGAGCAGAGCAGAGCAGAGCTCGTAAATTCCAACCGAAAAGGAGTAGAAATGCTGAATGCACGTAAATTTATAATGAGAGTTTTTTTTTCCATTCTTTTTAGCTCTCTCTGTCTCTGTCTCTCCCTCTCTCCCTCTCTCTCTCTCTTTTGGTACTTACAATTTTCGCAACATGCTGTGCTGTCCTTCATCCTCCTTCTTCCACTTTCTCCGTGGCCGGCGTGCTGTGTAACTTTTCCTTCGTGCATTGTCTTGGCTGGCCGATCTTGATCCCGATCCTTGCTAATTGTGTTTGCCAAAATTTGCATGCCCTTTTTTCGCATACCCTGCCAGGCACGGCCGGGGGTAGAAAGAAGAAACCCGTAACAAGACCATGGACTCAATTTTGCATAGTCTGTGCCTATTCGGGCAGCATATTTTCTCTGCTTCTTCAAACTCTTTGTTCTGATCCTGATGCAACTATTGTTCATTTTTTCTGAGCCATTCTGGCGATCCTGGGTGGCATTCTGTCAACTATCCAAGTAGAGTTACGTTTTAATACCGATAGAGATATAGTCAAACCTGAATATTATACATCTATGGGCATAGCCTACCATTGTAGGCCTAAGATATTCATAATAAAGGAAGCCAACTAAGTGTTCTCATAAGAGCACAATGGTATTCGACCTTAAGACGAAACGGCAAAGCCGTCATATTAATAACACTCATAATTTGATACATTTAATTGAGGCGAATGGCCGCAGGATAATGAAAGCAACCGGGCCTCAGATGTCGTTTCCACAGCCTCCCCTTTCCTACATGCCATTCCATGGTTCCATCGTCCATTGCACTTGAGGCAGCTTATTAGAAGAGGCTGCCTCCGTTTGGCGCCAAGCTCGGACTGGTCGTCCCTGCCCCCTTGCTCGGACTCTGGCGAATCGCGGGTGAGAATCATAATTTTTCAATTTGAATAATGAACGGCAGTTGGCGGCGTCGGTGGCTCGCTGCCGGCGAAGCCTTTAAATTTATTTTGAATGCCTTTTATTTTCTTAGGGGTTTCTTTCTTTTGCCACACGAAAAAGAAAAATCCTAACAGCCAAACACTCGTAAACTCATTTGAGAAAAAATTCTTCTGCCTCCCAGTCCAAATAATTTTCTCGAAAGCTGAAAAAGAAGATGGAAAGGGAGAGAAGGATAGAGGAAAAGAGAAAAAAAATAAAGAGAGACAGAGGGGCAGACACGTAGGAGTGAGAACTACACTTAACAAAATTTTAGCCACAAGTAATTACTGTTTCATAATTATTTTTGTCTAAAATAAAGATTATATTACAAATAATATATATATAATATATAGAAGGTTGAAACAGTTAGGATCGTCCCAACCCGATTTCTTTATGTGTACGATGGCAACTTTCGGTGAACGCCAAGCGAAGAAAGGCTAAAATGCTAATAAGCAGCGCAGTACGCGAACATTTCGCTCCATCTCACTCCCACACCCACACCCACTGGCACTGGCACTCTCCTACTCGTCTCTATGTAAGCACATAAGACGCCCTCTATGTATTACATGGTGGGTTTTTTTATATAGAGGCTGCCGGGACAGGATGAAGCCTTTTTTGGCTGTTGAAAGGGGCACAAAGAAGTGGAGGCGTCAGTTTTGCTGGAAGGTTGAATGGGGGGCGGTTGGTGGCAGTTCGTGGGTTGGCGGGTTGGCGGTGGGAGTCGCCTTTCCTTCATTTCGGTGTAGTTGTTTGCTCTCTCACTGGAGATTAAATGGGGAAAAACACTGTGACATTTTCTGGCTGCGCGGCGCGTTTTTTATTTCTTTTTCTCGCTCAGCTGCTGCTTCCTTTAGACGCGAGTTCAAAATCCGGCGAGGGGTTGATGGGGGGAAGGGAAGGGAAGACGAAGACGTTAGGTAATGGGGAGGATTGGAGAGGGTGGTGGCGACAGCATTAGTGGGGCGTCTTGTGGCAAATGTAAAATAATGCGAAAGGGCTTCGTTTGCATAAATTAAAAATTTATATAATGCTGCCCGTTGTCGCCTTTTGGAGGAACGGAAAAAGCCTCGGGTCCCCGGCTAATTTTCTGTTTTGTAGAGGGGTTGTTTCTTAGCTTATTGATTAAAAAAGTCTTGGTCCTTTGTTTAACACAATAATGTAATATATTTATATATGTATATATATATATATTTCTATGTTTTGTATACACAAAGTTCATTTGAAAACATAATACATTGTAGTTTAGAACGAATTGATAAATCTTAAATACATATTTGAACGAATGCATATATTTATGGTTTCAATGCCGGAAAGGACAACAACAATAAAATAGAAACTCAAGATAACAAAGCCGACAACTCGTTACATCATATGAATTCATACTATTGAATCATATATATGAATATTATGAATATTTTGTGTTAATTAAAATTCTTCTAATTCTGATCTCTAAATGTATTTATTAGTTTTTCAATGACTACATATCAAAACTGGTAAATGACGTTTGTTATACTCGTAAGATTAGGTTCGTATCTTTGTATATGGTTGTACATACACATATTTATGTATTGCACAATTTGAGCTGCAATTAGTAGAGCTGATTCATATTAAGTATACTATTTACATGGAAATTGACTTTGCATTTACAGACATATGTATAGTTTAAGTATTTTATTACAGGTTACACCTAACATTTAAACAAGCTAAGTTTATATAGTGACGATTTAATTCGTATAGGTTTTAAATGTACATAATCAATATGAAACATGTGTGAGGTCTTTTGTGCCATGCGCTGAGCTTCGAAGGATTCGAAGGGCGCTCACTATTTGATTTTATTTTTTGTAATCATTTAATCTTGAGGAACTTGTATACCATACACTTGAATGAACAAAGAAAATTACACAATATTTTGTTGCATTTTTTTAACTTTAAAACGTCCGAACTAAGGATGCATCGAAAAGATTGATTACCTTTCGATGAATTGAACCAAAGATTGCACTAAAATTAGTATGTAGTGTAAGTTCGTATTTCTGACTATTTACAGAGGCTAACGTATGTACAGAGAGGGGGTCTGATTATTCATTGAATATATAATAATTTAATATTTACACTTAAATTGTATTTCATCAAATGCTCGAAAATCGTTTTATTACTAGGCCCGTATCCATATAAAATATGCATCAAAATTACTTAATGTATAACTTTGGGTTTCCTTTTCGATATTTTTGTCTAATGTTTGTATATAAATTCAGTTGAATTGTACGATTGCCAAATTGTTGTATATATCTATATACCGTATTAGCTCACAACAATTTTGATACAAAGAGGTATTGGAGGTATTTGGTTATAGCATTTTTTCCTGTTTACTTGGTTCAAGACTTACGATTAGTAGCTGTATATTTTCACATTTGAAATATGTTCGATTACATTTTAACAGTTTACAGCTAAAGTTTATTCATTGAGCTATGTGTATATCAAAGATGCCTTGCGAACATTGTATTTTGTTTTGTCTTAAGTGCCTCTCAAGATCTAAAACAAAATCAAAATCAAGGGTATTTCTAATATGGAAGAAGATTGTGTAACAGCTTTCTCGCCTGTTACTTATTGCCGTAGACCGTTTGCCTTTTAACGGAAAATAAAGAAAGAAGAAAGAAAAACAAAAAGAAGGTAACATAAAATGTTGTATAATTTTTGGAATTAATTTATTTTTCCATTGCATTCAGCAACATTTCAACTAAACATGACTCTGAATAGGAACATATAAAGTAATATTATATTTTGGTCTTTAATAAAACAAGATTCATGCAATAAAATATTAGGAGCTAATCAGTTAAATAATGTTTTTAAATATTTATGGCAAACAAAACAAATAGCGTACAAATAATTTTGTTTTTATTGTTAACTTAAAGTTAATTTTGATTTAATGTTGATTGGCATTGCTTTCTTTAAGAATCCTTTAAAATATATTAAAATTAAAATAATATAGTCTATTAACCATTCGATAGATTTTATATTCTTAGCGAGAGTAAAATAGTATTTTTGGAGCGCTGTATAATTTACAATTGGCAGCTGCATTTGCTGGGTATTTACAATTTTGACTGAGTTGAAAATAATCTAAAACTTGTAACTTAAAGTAGGTTAGGTGTTGAAAATGGCACAACATGTTCGGTTCATTTTGGTGGGTTTTGGCAGGGATAAGCATGGCATATGGCATGTTTAGCTAATTTTGTACAAATTATGTGTGTTTGTTTGTTTTTTTTGTTTTGTTTTAATTTTGTGCAATTATTTCACTAAAATATCTATATTTTCTTTAGTTACTTGTACTTAGCATTAAATTCCTGTTGCAAAAGATGTTTTTAAACTCCACTTTTAAACTTCATTTTGTTTAACTTTTGTGTGGATTGTTGCCAGTCAACTTCATCAAATGAAGGCTGATAAAGGCTATGTACAATTTGGGCTTTCACTGATTTAGTGCTGGCGCATATATAGAGCAGCGGCATCATCCAAATCGTCCAAATCAATATCCTCGTTTTGTTCTTGTGATTCGGTGGAGCGGGGCGAGTGCATGCTGAGATCCTCAGGCTCGGTTTGCTCGGGCATTTCGCTGCGGACATGGATTATCTGGGGAGGAGGTAGACGAAACACACGGCGTATATCCTGGGCCTTTCGACGGGCCATGCTACTGCTGCAGTGGCCATCTACTGAGCTGGCGCCGTCCTCAGACAAATCCAATGGAGCCTCGTCGTCCAAAGAACCCTTTTCGAGATCAACCGACTCGTCAGAGCCCCCATAGCTTGCACACATAGCCGCAAATTTATTGGCTGATGGCTCCAGAGCCATAGAGGTGACTGCCATGGGAAAGTCTCCACTCATTGCAGGTGAGAGGGCCGGAGTGGGTGGCGACTGAATGCCACACTTGTGATTCATCAGGTGGTGACGCCGACGGAATTTCATATGGCACCGGTCGCACTCAAATGGCTTCTCGCCATTGTGGACCAGCATATGGGACTTCAGCTGATTGGAGTCACTGAATTTACCGTCGCAGATCTCGCAAGTGTACGGACGCTCCCCAGTGTGAACGCGCAGGTGACGCCTAAGATTGGCCACCTGCACGAATTGGCGATCGCAGTGGGAGCAATGATATGGCTTCTCTCCGGTGTGCAGACGCATGTGGGTCTTCAGATGATGGTCTCGGGTGAAGCGCTTGTGGCACTCTGGGCATTCGAAAGGCTTCTCGCCGGTGTGCGTACGTTCGTGGTTCTGCAGGACGTGCTTGTATCCAAAGCTGCGAGAGCAGATCTTGCAGGTGAAGCTCTTGTCGCGAGAGGGATCTTTGGATGCGACGCCGGTAACTCCCGCACCGACGCTTCCCACCTCGTGTGTGGAATTGGGCGAGCTGCCGCTGGATGGCGGAGAAATGGGTCCACCCGGTGTGTGATAGAGATCATTCACGCTCATGGTGATTTCCGTCTGGAACTCCTTCTTTACCGATAACTTGCGAGATTTCTTCACTGGCTCACGGTGCTGTGGTGTACTGCTGGGAGAGGTCAACGGATGCTTGCCACTGCCCAAAGGTGTAGTGGGCACGGGCGAGTGCGGACTGGCGGGCGGGGAATGCATATGCGTGCCCTGGGGTGGCATCTGCGACTGCTGGGCGGCCCAAGCTCCAAACAAAGCCGCCGGGTTGTGGGGAAACAGTGTGTTGGCCAATGTGCTCATTGGAAGCTGGGCCATAAAAGCAGCCGCCTGGCGGTTAGCAGCCATCAGTTGGGTGGGTGAGAGCATGCCGAAGGCTGATGCAGCGGCCGCCTGTTGTAGACCCATTCCCGGGTACATGGCCGCGGCGCTGCTGGCTGACGTGTTGGCCGACATGGGAGGCGACAGTGACATGGAGCGGTCTGCAGCGACCTCCTCCCTTTTAATTCCCGCTAAAGCAGCAGCTAGGCCTAAAACAAAAAAAAAGGAAACAAAAAAGTTAGCTAAATGTCTTTACCCTTCTTATACTTAATATTGTACACTAAAATAAGTCCGAGGAGAAGGAGAGTCAGAAGAAGAGCCAGAGCTGTCGTGCTAAGAGAGAAATTGCTTAAGAGCAAACCAACGTCACATATGTTCATGTGTGAGAGTGTTGCTCACGCTCTTTCTCTCTGTACTTCTCTTTGTCTTGTGCTCTCAGCCCTTTGTTTTGGTGGGGGCGTTGCAGTAACGAGTTGAGTGCCGGTTCTGAGTTCTGGCCAAACTTGTAAACAAAACTTAATTGCTCTAGAGTCTAGATGTGTGTGTCTGCCTGTGTTTACGTGCGTGTGTGTATGTAAAAATGGCGTTCAACATTAAGATGAACACATCGAGACGTCGTTATCACTGTGCTATGTTAAAGAGCAAGCTTTCATTCTGATACAGGTCTAACTTATGGCGGACTTGTGTGCAAGTTTTGAACGTTGAGTGAAATGCATGTTTTGTTTACTTACTTCGTGTCTGTGCGTCCTGGAGCATTGATATAGCCATTAATCTGTGTTCGTTGCGGTGTTGGGGCTTCTCGTTTTTGCCTTGATTTGAGCAAAAACCAGTTGTAAATTCGCTTGATAACTTTTAGTTAAAACAGTGTAAACACACAATTTTCATTTGAGCAAAGTTTTCTGCACTTTTTCTAGGATATGATTCTAGGATAACTTGTTTGTTTCACGCACTTTTTGTACTTTGAGGTAGAGTGTTAAGTTTCTTTTTGTGTTTATATAAGTTCGCCGATTATACAAAATGAGGTAGATTGTAATTTATTCCAGTTATTTTATTAACTTTCTCTGCAGTAGTGTTTGCCTTGAGGTATTCGATTTGTTGCCCGTTTTTAGTTTGTATTTTTAAGACACAAAAAATTCTTAAGATGTTGCCGTGAGGAGTCTTCGCTGAGGAATGATATTTGAGAGTGACTGAACACGTTTTATATAGCTCGAAGTATCCTTTGCCGAGAAATCCTTTTTGAAGCAACAAATTTGCGTATGTGTATGAGTTGATGGGGTGTTCTTCTTTATCGAGGAGTTCTGTTGTTCCTCTCACGACCAAACCAAAATCACGAATGATACAAATTCGGTGCGTGCGCTAACTATAAGTACGCTCTGCTCTGTTTCGGCTTCGCCCTCCCTCACGCATACACTCGCACGCTCAGAGCACACATACGCTCGCTCGCTCTCCCGCTCACTCACACAAGCGCAAGACAGCAAGAGTAGGGAGGGAGAAAGCAGTGAAACGACGGCGAAAAACGATCCGACGACCGAAGAGGTAAAGTGAAATACTTTTTACCTAAGAGACAGACGACTGTTGATTTTTCCTATGCAAATTGGAGCGACAGGGATAGCTAGCACATTTAAAAATCTCAAACTCGTGGTGTCCTTATGTACTGACACACACTCTTATGTGCTCTACAGTTCACCAAAAAAATGTTGACTTTTAGTCAAATAACTTTACGCCGTACGTGTAAAAAACCTTCACGATTTTATGACACTGCATTTTTATATTCTGCAGTCATAAAAAATAAAAAAATCAAAACTATGCGCTACCTATGGGAGGCCTTAAAAACTTAAGGCCACTTCCGCTACTCTTGTTTTTTTAGAGCCTTCATAAAAAAAGTGCACTTGAAGGCAATTTAAAGTGGAGCAAGGATCTGAGGCCACTATTTCGAAACGGGTAAAAAACTGAATTTCCCCTCAAACGAAATTTCCCCTTTGTACATAAGCCAGAAGGGGAAACGAAGGGGATGAAACTAATGCCAAAGGAGAGTCAGGCGATAGGGCAAGAGAGGGAGCGAAAGACGCAAGCCTCATGGAAAGAGATGTCATAGATGGGGTGGAAATCCAAGCGTGCGCTGTAAGAGTAAACCGGAAGCTAGCGAAATATCACCTTCGAGGTGTATTTCTGCATGGTGAGACATTTCCCCTCTTCTAGTGCTGCTTTCTCGCTCTCTTTGTGGCGCGCTTCAGCTCTCTATGGAGCGAATCCAGTTGTAGTATTGCCCCTTGATACTTTTAAAGGATCCCCGAACAGGAAGAGAGGGACTGTTGTTCTATATAGCCTGTGGTCAGGAATGCTTGGGAATATATACATATATTCTGCGTAATGGGTTACTAATTGTTGGCACACGTCTAAAAAATGAGTCATAAAAAAGGAACTGATAAAAAACCGGCCAGGTAGAAACCAAAACCAAGTCAAAGGCCCTTAATAAAAAACAGTCAACATACTCGTACATACATATTTAAGCATGGATATTTTTTGGAATTTATTTTTGGTTATTTAAACGTTGGCAGTGACTTTTGCGGATTGACTTCTAAATCGTTTTATGTAGATTTTTATGGCAAGGACATGCTGTGCAGAACTTATGCTGAAAACGGGCCCAGATCTTCGTGCTGGTTTGCGTAGGTAGGCCAAGGACGAACACAACAGAGTACTCGGCAGGCGGGTAATGCGAACTACCGTGGAAATTTTCGAAAGTGAAATCGAACAATAGCCAAAAAGGACATGGATATCCTTGCTCTGCATAATGTTACGTAAAATTCGAATGGTTTCTGTCAACCAACGAACAAGATCAGTTTCAGCGAAAATTTTCGCAAAACCCTCAAAAATTCGCAGAAAGCATTAAACAAAATTCAAGCACCCAAAAATGACCCTATTGATAAGGATTTCTGATTTTTGAGCGATCTGACTCGTTCGAGAACATCGTCAGCTAATGCCCAGGTTTGCGGATTAGTCAGAAATACTTTTCTACATGTTTGCTGCCTTTCGCTTGATATTGACAAAGAAACTTAGCTCAAATGATTTTATTAAGATCCGGCAGTATGCGATAAGACGTTGCTGGTTATCTATGGACGCAAAGTCAAGTATACTAGTGTCGGGCGAGAGTGAAAGAAAACGAGATGTTAAATATGAAATGAAGAGTGAAGAAAAATTCGACGACTGAGACTTTCACACACTTGTGCGACCATATGTTTGCACATAAGTGGGGCAGTAGTGCGTATGAAAGTGCGTATAGTTTGTTGATAAGGCTCAAACTTGAAAAACTAACCTAGGCTAACACTACTTGGGTGACTATAGAGTAAGGTTCTCATATATATATTTTCCTATTGTTGTGTCGACCTCTCAAAAAAAAATATATATACATATAATAGACCAGTATATTAAGCTGTTCTATCTCATATACGAGTACGAGTACTATCCCAGCAGATGCGTTGTATTGTAACTTCATCATCCTACACGTGTCTAGTTTCATCGTCTGATAGAACCGCTGTACATAACCCTTACCAGACCGGACCTCCTGAAAGAATACAAATAAACACAAAACGCACAAAGCTAAACAAAGAGGAAAACTCTACTTTTTTTTTTATAAAAAAACGACAAATTTGTACAAATATTTCGAGTGAAAACGAGGGGTTGTCAACAAAGAGACGATTGGTAGGCCAAAAAAGGGGGAAAAAGCGGAAATAAAAGTGAAAGTGAAGGCTTAAAAATCGCACGTCGCGCACACGCATGCGCCTAAAAGCAACCCTAGGGACACATCATAGGGGTATTTTTTTTATTGTTGTACGGCCTATGAGTGTGCCCACAATTTTTTAATCATTTGTTACACTCGATCAGCTTTTGTATGGTTTTTTAAAGGGTGCGGTTCCTTGATTTATAGGCAATCGAGTAGTAACGACGTGATAATGTTGTTGGAAGTACAGACGTGAACGGGACAGAGGTAGACCATCGCACTCTTGATCTTGTGTGTTTCTTGAATACTTCAGAATGGAACCGCTGTGAGCTTCCATTCTTAATCATGCGATTTGGTTGCTAATCCCAATACTTACAGTCCAGACTTGGACTGAATCCTTCCCTGCACTCTTTGGCCACACCGTAATAAGCCGCGGATGTAAACTGCGCAATCCTCGACTAGCCACTAATCATTATATTGTTTGAATTTAAAATTACTCAAATCCCCATTTTTAATGTGATGGAAACTCCTTGAAGGGGATTGGGTTTAGCCATACCCGTTCGTTCAAGGACCTAATAATCGCAGATTAGTCGGAGATTTGGCAGAAGTCTGCACAAGATTGTCTGGCATCTGGCTAAAAGGATTGAAAATATCGCAGAATACCTTTTCGAGAGATTATATTTGGTTAAAGCACCTATAATGGTGGCAGTGATAAGAACAGGCGTTATTATTGCTTTTTACTACATTTTTATTTGTATATCAAAAGAAAGAAACAGATAGACCCTCCCTTGTCGCACTTCCACCGTCAACGTCAACGTCAGCAGCATCCCTAAAAATTTATTTCACGTCTTGTTTTTTAGAGCCCTCTGATCACGCGTGTACCATGAGAGGGGCAGGATCACTCCCGCAGAGGGGCAGGATCGTGTTTTATATCAATTTAATGAGTACGAACCTATGGCTTGATCTGGCTTGTTCATCGCATGCCAAGCGTGCGCCAGACCCAAAGGAGGGCGAAGATGATCACGTGGCATCTCAATTGCAAGGGTTACAAGGGTCCACAAGACTTCCTAGCATTCTTGAATGAATCCACGGTCTACAAATCCTAGGCTAATGGAAGCGAACTAATCAGCCTCGGAAACAGAGATTAAGGATTAGCTGAGCTAGTCGTGAGCGTTGCAGTATGGATCGGGATTAGGCAACCGTGAGGCCAGGACGGACTAGCCCAAATTGGACACCGCAGGCCAATATCAATACATGATGTATGCAAGTAAGTTTAATTTGGTTAGTTATGCTGTTTATTTTTTAAATCAAATTCCTAGGAAAATGTTTTCCCTTTGCAAGTAATCAATCACATTAAAATTGCTCAACATGTTTCGCTAATGGTGAGCAAAAAGAAAAGAAGGTATGAAAGTAATACCTACGCAAGGGGGATTAGGCGGCTAATCCGTCTTGTTCCAAATGACCAGCGGGAAAGGTGCTTGGCCAGGAAAACAGACATTCCGGGTGTGTACCGGGCAGATACTTCCAACATATTTTCGCTTTTCGGTGGGCTGTTCCTGAGCTAATTTAAATGACAAATATACGCACACAAAGTGGCCAGGATTGCAGGAAACCCATGCGAAATGCATGGTTGCTTTGAAGATTCAGGATTCAAATCAGATCGATTCGGTTCGGTTCGTTCCATTCAAGAAGACTGCGTTACATTTTTCACGGAACCTAATAAAAAACTCTTCCAGTTTGGCCGGTTAAAAAACTCTAAATAGTCATAAACCCCAGGTAGGACTAATCATAAAAAACTTTAAAGTGCGGAAGCAAGTCATCAACAGACGGTAAAAAAGTCAAACCGAGCACTTTCGTAAAAAGTCAAGGCCAGACTATAAACTGTTGGAAAGGACGAGGCAGCTGACTAGGGTGGTTGGTATTGTTGGTATGGTCGGTACATATGTGAGGCTGTTTTCGCGGCGAATTCGTTTACGATCCGTTGGTAATATGCAAATGCACAATGCCGCTAGGAATCCTGACCTTGTTTATGATGCAAGGACCTTAGGACAGCCATTCTTAATCCGGATTTAGTTCAGCTCTGCA